CAGTCACTTCACTTCGAAGACATGACCTTTACTTCAAGTCATTGTTGCTTGAACTCATGAACCGCATGAATTCTTTAGCGCATGACCGAGCGGTAGGTCAGCAAGCCCATTAGTCTGTTGGTTAGGGAGTGTGACAGTGACATGTGTGAAGATAATGATGGTGTTTATGGTGAAAGGCGATGTCGCTCGTAGTGATGAATGTGACACTTTGGACAAAGAATGAAATATGTTGTGATATTTCTGTGTATTTAGATCGTGTGTGTGTTGAGTGTGTATGTGTTGTGAGGAGAGAGAGAGGAGAGAGAGAGAGAGAGAGAGAGAGAGAGAGAGAGAGAGAGAGAGAGAGAGAGAGAGAGAGAGAGAGAGAGAGAGAGAGAGAGAAGAGAGAGAGAGAGAGTGAGTGAGTGAGTGAGAGATGATGTCAGCAAATACTCACGTACGTGTAGCAGACGTAAACATATGCAAAATGGAATTTTATTCTATTGAGGATCATCAAATTTGCATAAAGCTTTTCCTCACCTGTCATTTCCTGCTTCGCGATATCAACTTTCACGAGATAAACTTTTCCTAGTACCATACATACCCATTTTTTTCTCAAACTTTTTTCTCCATCTCTGTCTGTCTGTGCCTCTGTCTATCTTCTTCCCACCTCTCTCTCTCTCTCTCTCTCTCTCTCTCTCTCTCTCTCTCTCTCTCTCTCTCTCTCTCTCTCTCTCTCTCTCTCTCTCTCTCTCTCTCTCTCTCTCTCTCTCTCTCCTCTCCTCTCCCTCTCCCTCTCTCTCCCCTCTCCCTCTCCCTCTCCCTCTCCCTCTCCCTTTCCCTCTCCCTTCTCTCCCTTTCCCTCTCCCTCTCCCTCTCCTCTCCCTCTCCCTCTCCCTCTCTATACACATTTCTATACACATTTAACCCATTCCGTTCCACCAAAGACAATTCCAAAAACACTAAACAAGCAATTAGATTAAAAAAAAAACACTGCAACTCAAGATCATGAAAAGTATATACTCATATTCCCAAGTTTCTCGCTATCCTGGAGGCGATCCTCAAAGACAAAATATAAAAGATTTTGGTATTAAATAAATCAAATTAGATCAAGAAAGAAAACGTTGTAGTAAGAGGTACCGATATTACGTGCTCGTTGTGTTGATAATACTTGTGAGAATGGTGATGATAATGATATTTATCACAACGATAGTGATAGTGATAATGATAATGGCGATGATAGTCAATGACAATAATGAAAGAATAATTATGACTATGAAAATAAGAAGAAATAACAACAGTTTTGACAAAATTGTAGGAATAAGTGATAATAATGATTATATGATTATTAAGAATGATGATAATAATAACGATAATGATAATAATGATGATGATAATGATAATAGTGATGATAATAATGATGATGATTATGATAGTAATGATGATAATGATAATAATGATATTGATAATATTGACAATAATAGTAATAATAATAATAGTAATGATAATAGTAGCAATGATAATAATAATAATGGTAAAAATGATAAAAACGAAAGTAGTTATAATGATAATGATCATAATAAAGATAACAATGAAAGATAAAGATAATGACATGAAAAATAATAACGACAATGATAATGATAATAATCATGATAACGATAATAATAATAATGATAATATATCTGATAGTGATAATGATAACTATAATAATGATAATGAAGATACACAACTTATAATAAATTAAATATAAAGTAATAAATTTACACATTTTGAGCAAAGCAGAGCAGTTGCCTGACCAAGTTGGCTGCACTAATGATTCCTTATTTTTCCGCTGTCTCATTGTGTACCGTTTGTGATTTATTTGTTAAGTAAACAGTCTCCCGAGGCTGTGTGCTTATGCGTTTGTTTATGTATAGAGGAGGAGCGGGGAAGAGATAGGGAAAGGGAGAGGGAGAGAGGGTGAATAAAAGGGAGAGATAGGGAGAGGGTGAATAAAAGGGAGAGATAGGGAGAGTGAGAGGGAGATAGGGCGAATAAGAGGGAAAGATAAGGAGAATGAGAGATGTAGGAAGAGTAAGAGAGAGATAGGGAGAATGAGAGATAGAAAGAGAGGCAGAGAATGGAAGACAGTTGCGAAAGATAGAAATCGAGAGAATGAGAGATCGGTAAGAGAAGGTGAGTGAGAGGGAGATAGGGAGAATAAGAGAAAAGGACAGAAAGAGTAAAAAATAGACTTATAGAAAAAATGAGATAGAGAAATAGAAAGAAAGAAAAAAATAAATATCTAAGAAGGAAGAAATAGATAGAGAAAAGACGACAGAGAGATTAAGAGAGATGGACAATAAAAATCAAAGAGTGAGAGACAGGAAGGGTTAAGAAATAGACAGGGGGAGTAAGAGAGCGCGGGGAGGGGCTTATAACTATGCTAATAGACTGGTAGACATAATTAATGAGAAATTCCCTTCACAACACCGGTATGTGACGGCTCTAGGGGGGTGGGGGTAAAGGGGAAGGAGGGGGGATTGGCCCTATGATTGTAATTGAATAATTAATTTTGACGTAGCATCCTGAGTTGGTTTCAAGGGACGGGGCGGTGTTTCCAGGGCGCTACATGGCGCTTTGGAGAAGTTTGAGGATGGCCGGACTCTGTTTGTTTGTCTGTCGGTCTGTATCACTCTCTCTCTCTCTCTCTCTCTCTCTCTCTCTCTCTCTCTCTCTCTCTCTCTCTCTCTCTCTCTCTCTCTCTCTCTCTCTCTCTCTCTCTCTCTCTCTCTCTCTCTCTCTCATCCTCCTCCGTCGCCACCACCACCTCCTCCTCCTCCCTCCTCTTCCTTCCTTCTCCCCCTCCTTCCCCATCCCCCCCCTCCTCCCCCTCTCCCCTCCCTCCTCCTCCCTCCTCCTCCTCCTCCTCCTCCTCCTCCTCCTCCTCCTCCTCCTCCTCCTCCTCCTCCTCCTCCTCCTCCTTTCCCCTTGTGCCCATGTTTGTATTACAACCGATTATGAACAGACTCTGTCGACACACTCCCATTTTTATATTCGTTAGTTTGTTTGTCTTCGCGATCGCCAAGAGGGGGGGAGGGTGCTTAGTGCTTGATGAAAAGCAGAGAAGAAGGTGATTAAAGACGAAGAGACTGGGAAAGATTGGTTAAAACGGAGATAAAGACAGCAGAAAATGGGAAGAGGAGTGGAGTGTTAGAGATATGTTGAGCTGGAAGAGGGAGGGAGAGAGGGAGAGGGATAGGGAGAGGGAAAGAGAGAAGTAGAGAGAGGGAGAGAGGGAGAGAAGAGAAGTAGAGAGAGGAGAGAGAGAGAGTAGAGAGAGGAGAGAGAGAGAGTAGAGAGGGAGAGAGAGAGAAGTAGAGAGAGGAGAGAGAGAGAAGATAGAGAGAGGAGAGAGAGAGAAGAGAGAGAGGAGAGAGAGAGAGAGAGAGAGAGAGGAGAGAGAGAGAAGTAGAGAGAGGAGAGAGAGAGAAGAGAGAGAGATAGAGAGAGAAGAGAGAGAGAGAGAGAGAGAGAGATAGAGAGAGGAGAGAGAGAAGAGAGAGAGAGAGAGAGAGGGAGAGAGAGAAGTAGAGAGAGGAAGAGAGAGAAGTAGAGAGAGGGAGAGAGAGAAGTAGAGAGAGAGATAAAAGACAAAAAATGAAAATAGAATGAAAACCACAATTAAACGAATGTAAAGTTAAAAAATCAAATTTTAAAACAACGGCAGAAGCACACTAAAATACGAGCGAAAGTGAGAAGAAACGAAACCCAGAGGAAAAGAAACGAAGACATAGACCGAAAAAAGACTAAACGGTAGGCGACAGGGACGGGAAAGATGAGAAAGATGGGATGCAAGAGAGGAAGAGAGAAGTGTCGGAAACTATGCTGCCGGTGAAGGATAGGAAGGATAGGCCGAGACAGGATAAGTGAGGATCAAAGGATGAGGGAGGGAGAGGGGAGGAGGGGCTATGTGGACACTTGAGACACCCACACGCACGCACGCACGCACGCACAAGTGTGAGAGACATACGATCGCACGGGAGTTTGTTCTAGATTCCGCTGGTTTCTGGTGTTGTTATTGATTTTCGTTGTCATCGCTGTCGTCGCATATTTTCGTTTTTTGTTTCTATTCCGATTTCTCATCCTTATATTTATCAGGTTATCGGTATGTCTCTCCCTCAGCCCTTCCTCCCCTTGCTCCTACTATTCCTCATCCTCCAATCCTATTACGCCCCCCTCTACCTCGATGCCAAATCCACCCATCCCAACCGCGTAGATATCTGAAAGCATTTAGGTTCTGAAATCCTAAATCCTAAATCCCTAAACGTAATGAATATATCGAAGCGATGATCACTGAGGGAGAAGGGGAAGAGGGAAAGGGGAGATGGGAAGTGGGAGAGAAATAGGAAGAGCGGTGGGCTAAAGAGTAAGGAAGATAAGGGAAAGGGGGAGAGGGGAGGGGAGCAAGGGAAGAGGGGATAGAAGTGGGAGAGTAAGAACGATTTTGAATAGTAGGGAAGGTAAGGGAAAGGGGGAGAGGGGAGGGGAGAAAGGGAAGAGGGGAAAGAAGTGGGAGGATAAGAACGGTGGGTTAAAGGGTAAGAAAGGTAAGGGAAATGGAAGAGGGGAGAGGGGAAAAAAAGGTGGAAAGGTGGAGGAGAAGGGAGAAGGAAAGAAGAGGGGAAATGGGGAGAAGGGAGAGGTGAAAAAAAGGGAGAGAAGGGAGAGGGGGAGAAGAGGGGAAAGGTGGAGGAGAAGGGAGAGAGGGATGAAGAGGGGAAAGGTGGAGAAGGGAGAGAGGGAAGAAGAGGGAAAAGGAGGGGGATCATATTCATGGTTTGTGGTGGAGTTGTCGTGATGGTGACCACGTGGCGGAGGCAGAGGTGGGGGCTGGTAGGGGTGGGGATCGTATAGGGTAAAACTATATATATGGTCGTTGCGGATCATTTTGGCTTTTTGGTAGACTTGTAGCGAATCGCGGTGAGTCATAATCATTGCATGAAGTCTTAGTAGGATATGATGGTTCTTTCTGAGTCGCGATGGGCCATGGTGAGTCTCAGTGAATTCCGGTGACTCTTAACGACTCGTGGTAGGTCGTGGTGGGTTGTACAAGTACGTGATAGGTTTCACTGAGGAAAAAAAACGGTTAGATTTATTCATGATGAGTCGTTATGAGTCATAATTCCATGGTGATTGCAGTGGGGGGTTTGGCCCTCGGTGCGCAGAGAATGAAGGGTCAGGGGTCAGGAGAGGGGAGTGGGAGAGGAAGGGTCAGGGGTCAGCAGAGGGGAATGGGAGAGAAAGAGAGGGGAAGAGTAGGTGGGTATGGAGTGAGGGGAAGAAGAGGAGTGAGTGTAAGAAAATGAAGAGAAAAGGGAAGAGTGGGAGACGGAGTGGAAGGAAGAGGAGTAGAGACGGAAGGAAGGAGTGAGTAAGGGGGAAAAGGAGGAGAGAGAGAAAGGGAGCGGAGGGGAGAGAGGGAGAAGGGAGGAATGACGAGGACAGTGGAGATTTACGTCCGCGTGTCATCCTGTCATGCGCCGCTGGTTCCTTTGTCTTTGTCATAGGCTCCGGTCAGGAAGAAGGATGGGACTTGCATATTCAGTTCATTCATTATCTCTTTGTTTGTGTTCTTTTTTATACGCTAAGTCATAGAAATCAAAGGCGGAGTGATGATATTTTTGTATTTAATTTCACTAGAGTTTTGTTTTCTCTCTCTCTCTCTCTCTCTCTCTTTCTCTCTCTCTCTCTCTCTCTCTCTCTCTCTCTCTCTCTCTCTCTCTCTCTCTCTCCTCTCTCTCACTCACTCACTCACTCACTCACTCACTCACTCACTCACTCTCTCTCTTCTCTCTCTCTCTCTCTCTCTCTCTCTCTCTCTCTCTCTCTCTCTCTCTCTCTCTCTCTCACTCATTCACTCACTCTCACTCTCTCTATCTATCTATCTATCTATCTATTTATCTATCTATATATCTATCTATTTTTCTTTTTATCTTTCCAACTTGAGATATGAAAACAAATCGGCCTTCCACGATGTACATGTAAATAGCCTCTCGCGGTAGAGCCACTGGCATTGGCTCTCAGCTCGTGGCACTCGAGGGTCATCAGCTGACAGTCAGGTTATGGCACTCCTCTGAGTATGAGAAATGCTGTTTTTATTATAATTGTTGACCTTTTTGCTTTATGGTTATTATCATTATTGTTATCACCAAATTCATTATTATTAGCATTATTATTATTATTGTTAATATTATTATTGTTATTATTTTTGTTATTATCATTATATTTTACTACTACTACTACTACTACTACTACTACTACTACTACTACTACTACTACTACTACTACTACTACTACTACTACTACTACTACTACTGCTATTAATATTATTATTCGTTATTATCGATATTACAATAACCATCATTACTATTATCAGTATGAATAACGATTACTGATGCTGTCATTACTATTTCCTTATTGTTGGCATCATCATTATTGTTACCAGTATTGTTGATAATGTTATTGGTGTCACTAACATATCAATAATTAACTGTTGCCATTTCCCTCTCATGGGTTGGGTAAGGATGAGATAGATTAGTCCAGAGGTTACACTACGTTAAATCTGTCGAGATCAGATTAGGCTAGGTTAGGTTAAGCTAGTTTGCATTAGGTTAGGTTAGTTTAAGCTAGGTTAGATTAGGTTAGTTTAGTTTAAGCTAGGTTCAGCTTAGTTACATTAGGTTAGGTTAGTTTAAGCTAGGTTAGATCAGGTTAGGTTAGGCTGGGCTAGTTTACATTAGGTTAGGTTAGTTTAAGCTAGGTTAGATCAGGTTAGGTTAGGCTGGGCTAGTTTACATTAGGTTAGGTTAGTTTAAGCTAGGTTAGATTAGGTTAAGTTAGTTTAAGCTAGGTTAGGTTAGTTTAAGCTAAGTTAGATTAGGTTAGGTTAGTTTAAGCTAGGTTAGGCTGGGCTAGTTTACATTAGGTTAGGTTATCTTAAGCTAGGTTAGATTAGGTTAAGTTAGTTTAAGCTAGGTTAGGTTAGTTTAAGCTAAGTTAGATTAGGTTAAGTTAGTTTAAGCTAGGTTAGATTAGGTTAGTTTAGCTTAGGGTTAGCTGGGCTAGTTTACATTAGGTTAGGTTAGTTTAAGCTAGGTTAGATTAGGTTAGGTTAGTTTAAGCTAGGCTAGATTAGGTTAGATTAGGTAACAGCCTTCCAAAGCCAAGGTCCGAGGTACGTTGGCACCCCTGAGAGGCCTAGTTACCGAGTAGGCTGTTGTGTTGCCGGAGCGCCAGGCCAACCAGCCATTCATTATTCATGTGTAGAGGCTAATGAGACCGCGTGATGTATTCTGATTTCTTATAATCATGAGAAGGCTTGATTTTTTTCTTCTCCCATTTTCTCTCCTTTTCTCCTCATTTGGGCGGGTGGTTGTGGTGGTTGTTTAGTTCCCGAAGGAGGTTGTTAGGTTGTTAATGAGCTGTTTTGGTCATTTGTGGGGGGATCATTTTTGTATTTTGTATTTTATAATACTGGAAAAAGTGGTCTTTATATAACTTTTAATCATTGTCTTTTTAGTTGCTTGTTAAACTAATATATATTATTTTCTTTTCCAGGTTGGTGAAGATTTCTGAGAAAGGTGTGGCGTTCGTTGGTAAGATGACGATACAACAACTGTGTATTTGTATATGTGTGTGTGTGTGTGTGTGTGTGTGTGTGTGTGTGTGTGTGTGTGTGTGTGTGTGGTGTGTGTGTGTGTGTGTGTGTGTGTGTGTGTGCGTGTGCGTGTGCGTGTGGGTGCGCGTGCGTGTACTGCGTGCGTATGTGCATGCGACGCAGCATTCTTGCATGTTTGTGGTCGCGTGTCGCTACGATCCTCCACGCCCATCGCCCCACGTCAGGCGCGTCCCTTTGTGTGTGATTATAGATGCTACGGCGTCTAATTATTCGTTTATATTCCTCACTGAATCGGAGCGAAGGAAGCTCACGCGGAATCCGTTCCCGGGAAGCTACAGAAGGCAAGTTCCAGCCCAATCCACACAAACCGCCCCTTTCCTCCCCTCATCCGCAGCGACAGCCCTACGCCACCCGCAGCTTCGCAGCAGACAGCCCCAAACAGCCCTCAACCTGCAGCCCACAACCCGCACCCACAGCTTCAAAACAGACAGCCCCAAACAGTTCTCAGCCCGCAACCCACAACTCGCAGCCCCAAACAGTCCTCAGCCCACAACCCACAACTCGCAGCCCCAAACAGTCCTCAGCCCACAACTCGCAGCCCCAAACAGTCCTCAGCCCACAACGTACAACCCGCAGCCCCAAACAGTTCTCAGCCCACACCCACAACTCGCAGCCCCAAACAGTCTCAGCCCACAACCCACAACTCGCAGCCCAAACAGTCCTCAGCCCACAACCCACAACTCGCAGCCCCAAACAGTCCTCAGCCCACAACTCGCAGCCCCAAATAGTCCTCAGCCCACAACGTACAACCCGCAGCCCCAAACAGTCCTCAGCCACAACACAACTCGCAGCCCCAAACAGTCCTCAGCCCACAACTCGCAGCCCCAAACAGTCCTCAGCCCACAACTCGCAGCCCCAAACAGTCCAGCCCACAACTCGCAGCCCCAGCAGGCCCCACAAGGCAGCCCCTTAGCTTGAAAGCAGACAGCCCCAAACAGCCCTCAGCCTCCGTCCCACACCTCGCATGCCCGCAGCCCCACAGCCCGAATCCCCCACAGCTCATAGCTCTTCGGATCATGTCACACTCGGACCCTCGACGTCCATCCGCCCTCGTCCTCGTGTGGGCGGCCCCGGGCGTGATTTATGGGCTTATACAGTGCCAGTAGAGCATGAGATTGGCCGCCCATCTGCAGTCACGTGGAAAGCCGTCATTTGGGTGCTGTCCATCGGGGGAGGGGGAGAGGGGGGAGGGAAAGGGAGAGGGAGAGGGAAGGGGAAAGGGGGACACAAAAGGGGTATGGAGATAACTCCCTCCCCTTAGCCCCTTATCCATTACTTGTTGTGAGGTCCTCGCTGTGAAGGGGGAGGGGGTGATTTAATGGGGGGAGAGGGGGAGGGGGAGGGGAGGAAGCATTTAAGCCTAGGTGGGATTGTTTGGTCTTGGTCAGGGCTTTTGGTTCGATCCGGCGCTGTTATCGTTTTCTGCCATATGCCTAGTTCGTATTTTTCTTTATTCCATCTTTTATTTTATTTTCGTTGTGGTGTCTGTTTCGTCGCCTGTATCATCATTATGTTCATTGTTTTGCTTGTGTGTATCGCTTTTCTTGTTTACCTGTTTTGTGTGGTTCGCCTTTTCTCGTTTACTATTCACTTTTTTTATTATCTCTCTCTCTCTCTTTCTTTCTTTCTTTCTTTTTCTTTCTTTCTCTTTCTTTCTTTCTTTCTTTCTTCTTTCTTTCTCTTTCTTTCTTCTCTTTCTCTCTCTCTCTCTCTCTCTCTCTCTCTCTCTCTCTCTCTCTCTCTCCTCTCTCTCCTCCTCCTCTCTCTCTCCTCTCCTCTCTTCCTCTCTCTCTCTTCTCTCCTCCTCTCTCCCTCCCTTCCTCTCCTCTCCCTCTCCCTCTCCCTCTCCCTCTCCCTCCTCCCTCTTTCTTTCTTTCTTTCTCTCGCTCTCTCTCTCTCCCCGTCTCTCTCTCCTCTCCCTTTCTCTCTTCCACCCCTCCCCTTCCCTCCCCCCTTCTCCTCAATCTTCATGTCATTATTCTCATATTCGTAACCTCCCCCCTCCCCCCCCCCCCCCTGCCAGATATTCCAAGTTCCCGCCGCGGGAGTATTACCCAGAGTACGGCTTCCGAAATTGCAGAGTTGCCGAGGTCTGTGGAGTTTGTAAATCTGAGTTTATTAATGTGTTCAGTCGAGAGGATGTTAGGATATTAAAGAAGTTTGAAGGATGAGACTTGTGTACTCTCTACGTGCGTGCGTGCGTGCGTGCACATTATACGCACTCACTCATTATCTCACTCGCTTATTCACTTAATCGCGCTCACTCTCACTCACTCACTTCACTCACTCACTCACTACTCACTCACTCCACTCACACTCACTCACACACAGTAAAATGCAGTAAAATACGTCTCGAGATCAAACGTACGGCGCCGTAAGAGATTATGAATGATACATATAAATTGAGTGAATGGGTTACGGGCGAAGGGAAAAGGTGATTGGTCAATGGCCGAGAGTTGATTGGCCAATGGTGAGGCGTTATCGATAAAATGGGTATCGACCGGGCGGCGGACGCGCTCGGTCGGGGACACGCGGGAACGAGATGGTCACGTGACTCGCTAAACATCTCTGTGAATTAACCGCGAAGTTGTAGATTTGCGCTTATGTTGTATGACGCGCTTTTTGGGCGGGTGCTCGAGGCGGTTGATTTATTTCGTCTTTATTTTCTCTTATATTTTGTTAATATAGTTTTCCTGAAGATGAATTATACATTGAAAAAGATTGAACAAATGCCTGGCCTTAGACCTCACCTTGCCTCTGACATTTTCAAACAGCCAAAGTTTTTTTGTTGTTGTTCGCGGCTCGAGCCATCGAGAAGAATTATAGCCACAGTTTCTTTAGAAATGTGTGTTTGGGGCCTCGACAAAGAAATCCACCTTGTTGAAAATAATACCGAGTGAATTTATAATATGAAGCGCATGAATGAACACATGATATGGCTATGTAGATAATTAAAAGTGATAGATAATTGTAGAAATAGATATTGATGACTTGGTGTGCCGGTAGTCCAAGACACAGTCCTCAGTGCGCCGTCGACAAGAAAGGCTTGAGAACCACAAAGGAGGATGTCGGGGGTGGGAAAGGGGGGGTCAGGGGGGGGTTAAAGGGAAGGGGGAGGGTGGGAAGAAGGGGTCAGGGTGGGTTAAACGGAAGGAGGAAGGGTGGGAAGGTTGGGTCAGGGTGGGTTTAAAAGGGAAGGGGGAGGGTGGGAAGAAGGGGAGGGTGGGTTAAAGGAAGGGGGAGGGTGGGAAGGGGGTGGGTGGGTAAGGGGAGGGGGAGGGTGGGAAGGGGGGTCAGGTGGGTTAAAGGGAAAGGGGGTAAGGTGGCTTAAGGGTGGGGAGGGTGTCAAGGGGGTTAAAGAGGGTGGAGAAGAGGTTCTTGGAGTCAGCATAAAGGGTTAGAGGAGAGGGAAGATTCGGGGTAGACAGGAAAAGCTTGAAACCACCGGGTTAAACGGGCGCAGAGTGAGACCACCGCCGATATTTCACACTAACTGGTTCTGATCCAGCGGTGCTCTTTTTGTTTAATTAGTTCGCAAACTCGTTTAGCCATACGTCAGTTTTTTTTTTCTTTCTTTTTTTTATGATATTATTCTTGTTTGTTGTTGCTGTTGCTGCTGTTTCTGCTGCTGCTGTATTATTGTTTGTACTGTCCATGTATTATTATTAGAGCAGTGTTGTAATACTCATTCAGCTTTTACTTCGAATGCCTTTAGTCTCTCCCCATTTAAGCATTCCTACCCCGCCATGTGTTGTGTTATGCCCTATAGCATTATCACTAAATGATGGAAGAGATATGTGTGACGGGGGTATGCAGGTGAATGTGGAAGGGATGGTTCAGGGGGGTCAGGGGGTTAGAGGGAAGGGGGAGGGTGTCAGGGGGGGAAGGGGGGTTAGAGGGGTAGGGGGAGGTGTTAGGGTTGGAAGGGGGGTCAGGGGTGGGGTAGAGGTGGGTGAGGGGGATAGGGGGAGGGTTGGGGTGGGAAGGGGGGTGAGGGGTTAAAGGGGTAGAGGGAGGGTGTCAGGGGGGTTAGAGGGGGGGAGGGTGTCAGGGTGGGAGAGGGGGGTTAGAGGGGATGGGGAGGGGGTCTTTGGAGTCAGCATAAAGGGTTAGAGGAGAGGAAAGATTCGGGGTAGGGTTAAAAGAATAGGGAAGAGGGGGAGGGGGGGGGGGTAGGCTTAGAGGAGTGGAAGACAGGGGACTGGAGATAGGCTTAATAACGTGGGGGGGGGGAGAGGATTTTTAGGGTAGGCAGAAAAGGGGTGGGGTGGGGGGGAGAGGGTGATTAAAAGAGCGCGGGGGAGGTGGGGGGGGGAGTCGGGAGCACGTCAGCGTTTATTAAGCTGGTGTCGGAAACCGGAGTAGACTCGTGCCGATAAATTCCGAAAGATTTCATTAAGGTCCAGGGTCATTTCCATCCGCATACATTCGCTTCTCCGCCGCGACGTCTCTCGCCTCCCGCGTGTCTTCCTTGCCTGGCGATGGACGCGGGGGTGGGTAGGGGGGGGTTGCGCTGTCCGGTTCCTGCGGGGAGGGACTGGGGGTACGGGCGCTCTTTTTCTCTTTTTTTTTTTCTCTTTTCTCGCTTTTCTCTTGCTTTCTTCTCGCTCTCGCTTTCGCTCGAGCTCTCGCTCTTCGCTCTCGCTCTCTCCGCTCTCGCTCTCTCGCTCTCGCTCTCTCGCTCTCGCTCTCTCTCGCTCTTGCTCTCTCTCTCTCTTGCTCTCTCTCTCTCTCTCTCTCTCTCTCTCTCTCTCTCTCTCTCTCTCTCTCTCTCTCTCTCTCTCTCTCTCTCTCTCTCTCTCTCTCTCTCTCTCTCTCTCTTTCCCTCTCTCTCTCCTCCTCCCCTCCTCCCTCCCTCTCCCCCTCCCTTCTTCCCTCTTTCCCCAACCCCTCTCTCCATCCCTCCTTCACCAATCCCACATTCATCACCTACTTTGCCTTCCCTGTTCCCTTCTCTCGCGATACCAAACTTCAGCTGACACTCTCCACCAAGGACCTCCTAACCGCATTCTGTTGTATCTCCTCCTACAACACCATTCTATTCCCACCGTTTCTTCCTTCTCTTCTTCTTCTTCTCATCCTGTCCTCCTCAAACATCATTCTCCTCCTCCTTTCTTGCCTTTCCCGTCTACCCCCTCCCCTCACCCCTCTTTCAGCGTCTCCTATGCCTTCTCCCTTTTCCTCCATCCCTTCTTATCTCCCCTCCTTTATCGTGTTGTCACACGTTGTTCCTCCTCGAAGTAATGAATTTGAGAAACTACCTTCCCTTGGGGGGGGGGGGGCTCTGGGATGCTCGGTTGCGATCTTCATCCTCTCGCCCTTCCTCCTGCCTTTGTATTCCACTTGCTCCTCCTCCTCCTCCTCCTCCTCCTCCTCCTCCTCCTCCTCCTCCTCCTCCTCCTCCCTCCTATCTTCCTGGCGTACCATATCAGCGTCTGACGTCGGCAGCCATGTCATTGAAACGACGTCCTCTCCCAGCTGTTCCTGCCGGGCGGTTGAAGAATTCGCCGCCTCTCTCGCCCCGGTCTTCAGTCTGCCGATACAGCCTTTGTCGCGGGGGTCGTAGTTCATGCCTATGCTGCCTCGGCACCATAAGTCACCACTGGCCATTACTCCTGCTCTGAGTGGGGGTCCTGACTAGGTATTGTCCAGATGAACAGGCTGGAACCTAGGCCTTTTAGGTCTTGACGTGACTCGGTGCTGGTCAACGTCTCACCCAAGACGGAGGTTATGCTACTGTTCAGTGCCCTCCCTCCTCCTGTTTCTCCTCGCCTTTCTCTTCCTTCTCCTCCTCCCACCTCCGACAATTCCGATACTACACCGTCATCACTACCAACACCATCACCCCCATTGCTACCATCACCTCTTCTCCTCCTCCTTGTTTGCCTCCTTTCTCTTCCTCCCACCCCACACCCGTC